AGGGCGGGGAGAAAAACCAATGGTTGATACCAATATTGTGCAGACAACACCTTTTGGAAGACCGGCCAATGTAAACAATGCTTCACAGGTAAAGATTTTTCATTGTATTGTTACCTTATCTAATAGTTATTTTGAATTCTCTTTATTTTGGAATACTTGAGCACAGCTATCAAAGTCATTCTGTAGCATTTCTTTTTGTTTGCTTTTTTCAAGTCTACAAATTGCCCAATAACGCGAAAATTACTTTTTGATTTATTCGAGTTTTGACTGTTTAACAAAGACATGCCCGTCTTCTCTGACTAAAATAATGAAGGGTCAAAGGGGACGCTGTATGTGGAAATTGTAGATTTATCTCATTTTCTTTATTAGATATATGAGCGTTGCGTAATCTTATAACGTAAATCGAAGCAAAAAGTTCGCTAGAAAGAATCCCTTGTTATATTCAGAATTAGTAGTTCTTATCCGTAACCCAGATTCATTAAAAGCTACGTTAAGATTGCTATGCAGGCGAGTAAGATATTAGTGTTTTGTTATGCTTTCTCTGGGAAGGTTTCATTATCGTGTTGTTAAATGTCATAATTCTTTTCCTATTTTCCTATCTTCACGGAGCCTCACTATACAAACGGATTCAGTTTTTTTTCTGTGGGAGGTCACTAGCTCCCACCGCGACACTACTGCAAAAACGAAAATTTGGACTTTGGGACAAACATGGATAGCGTTTTTTTTTTTAAATTTTGCTGCCGTTCAAACTTCCCCCTTTTCTCATACTTTTGAACATAACTAACTTCACATCAAGATCCAGTCTGGCTCATTCGGGCTTTATCGCTATAGGTTCATCATGATTAAATGAAACTTAATGACTAGACGTGACTCAATGGAAACGCATTCATTCAATTATTTGGAAATTGATTCATGTAAGAAGTCACCCTTTTGAAGTTTTTTTTGTATACATCCGAATCAGGCCGCAATCGCTCGCTTTTCAATGCGTAATCATGAAAATCGATAGTGACAGCAATTAACTCTTTTCTGAATCTAGCAATTTGTTTAAGTAACGGTTCGATGCGTAACTTGAGACATGTTTTATATTGATCTGAGGGTATAGGTGGATGTCTCGTTCTGCAAATCAAAAAATTCTCCCATCGTATTAGGTCTTTCACCAGATTACGCGATATGGTGATTCAAATTTTTTAATTGAAAAAAAGTATGCAGCGTTTGCCTTTTTGCCTCAAACTCATGCTTTGCATTTGTTTTGTTGGGGGATTCCCGTTTTTTTCAAGAATTCTGTTTTTCAAATTAATATCTGCATATCAAGTTCTAATGCAGCAATTGTTTACAGAATATTTTTCTGACATATAGAAGAGCCGTTCCAAGCAGTGCGCCCAGTCAATTTGTGGTGACCGATATTTGTGTAATACTTGCGAATAAAGGAGAAATTCCTCTTCATACTTACTATAAAATTCCGAAAAATTTGAATAAGGTGAGAACTTATTCTACATTTTTGAGCCTTTTGTTGCAGCTAACTTGAGCTAATCGCTTTGTTACAGGGAATGGTGGGATCAGATGTGTACATATGCTATAAGAAGTCGCAGTGTTCCACAAAACGGCTAGCATATAAACCAACGGTAAAGTAACATCAGCCTAAATTTACTGCATGTCTACGATTAATGTTCATGTAGGTTTTGGATTACTTCCCTAAAGGAAAAGCCAGCGAGAACGGTGGTGAAGACTTTAAGTTAGCCCAGAACATAGCTCTTTTTTGTCTACCTATGGGTGCTCTTATCGAATGTTGGCCAGTGAAGTGTCAACCACCTGACAGGGTGTTCTCGACTTTTGTCTTAACTGATGAGGCTTGTAGTTTTTGTTATACTCTTTATTGCGAATATTACACATATTGCCTTCCAGAATGGCACCAAGTTTTACGGCGCATCAGTATCGTTTTTTGAAAAATATTCTGAAAAGTTGACCGAAGAACAACTGGAACAGTTGGAGCTCAACTCTTCAGGTCGGGTTGATGAAGCTGGTGCTGTGGAAGATAGTTCTAGCAACAATGATCCTGCGGATGAGGTACCTCCTAATAAGTTCCTTCTCAATGTGCTTCCAATGATTTTTTTCCAGATGACTTTTTATACGAACGTTGCTATATGCATAATCTCTCGATATCCATTTTTCAATTCATTCAAACGATTTCTTTACTATATCCATAGGATATCGACAGGAGGAGGGATATATGCTGTTCCGATCGAGCGATATATCTCACATCTGGTGAGTTATCTGATCTTCCATGTCTTTTTTTTTATTCATTGACCTTATTGTATGTATCTCAGATGTACGAGGTATCATTTCCTACCCCTCGCCGTCCCCATGTGCTTATGCAACTTGGTTCGGAAACTATAAGCTTTGATTCACAGGATGAAAGCCAGTTGCCATTAAATGGTAATGTCTATCAGAAGTCTTTTTTTGGGTGATAATATAGTAAAATTTGACAATTTTTTCGTATCGTTCCTATCCACGGAATATCTTATGGTTAATAAGTCTTAATGTCATATGAACTACTTTTTACCTTGCATGCACATTGGCGTTTGATTAAAACATACAAGATTCACTTGTTTTTTTTTTGTTCAAAATATTGTGCGTTTAGGTGCCCAGTTGTGCGATACACTGCGAGCTCTTGGTACAGATAATCTCATCTATCTAATGATGTTAGCTTTATTGGAGCAAAAAATTCTTGTACATTCGCTAAGGTCTGTTCGATTATGTTCGATTATACTTTCAGCTAGTTTTCTTCAAATCAAATATTGCAGATCGTGGATGCTCACTGCGGTATCTGAAAGTGTGTGTGCTCTAATGTTTCCATTTCATTGGCAGTGTCCATATGTACCACAGTGCCCACTTGGACTTGCTGGAGTACTACACGCTCCTCTGCCTTTCATTGCTGGCGTTGATTCCAGGTATTTCATGCAGCATCTTCTTAATTGCTCTTCATTGAAGGAAATGCGAATTTTATTGTTCAAAATTTTAGATACTTTGATCTCTATGAAGATCCCCCTGTTGATGTCACCTGCTTTGATCTGGATACTGCCACTATAAGCCAGTCAGTAAATCGGTTGACTCTAAAACTCTCTATTTTGCCGAAGAAACCAACGAAGCAGTTAAAGGCAACATTAGATGACTTATTTAGAAGGTTGTAAATCAGTCTTTGTTAAAAACTTTGTGTTATGTGCTATGACTTCAGGTTAAACAAGGAGGCTTTTGATCTTGGTAGCAAAAAGGCAGATTACGTCCCCGTCGATAGGGATCTGGTAATTCAGAAGAAGCGAAAGGAGCTTGAGATGGCAATCCACGACGCCTTCCTGAGGTTTTTTTTTCGACAAGTTTTGTGTAAATATCACTGGAGTATTTTTCAAATTAACATCAATCACGAACCATCACTTTCTTACACGTCAGCAGAATCCCACGATTGGCAATTGTCTTTTTGAGTTGGGCATATTCAAGTTCTTTCTATTGACATTGTACAATGAGAGCTAATTGATGCGAAATGCTATTTTTTCTAATTTTTGAATAGAATGGTGCGGCGACTAACTTCTTCTGAATAGCTTCTTGCTTGTAATAAGGCAGCACCGATCTAATGAAAATTACATTGAGCTTTAGGAAATTGAAAGGATCCAAGGCAAATTTTTTTTTTCAGATTTATGGCGAACTTGATGCGCGGATATCAGTCGTACTTGAAGCCCATCAAAAGTGCACCATCTTGCATAAACGCAACTGATACGGGAAATTTGTTTGATCTAGATGGTTTTTTGAAATCAAGGGATAAGTCTGGTGTTGAATTTTTCAAGAGGTATGTTGTCACATCAGTTGGGCTTTGATCTTGTTGTTAAAACTCAACGATAGCTTTGAATTGTGACAAGCCACCCTCCGATATACACACAGCAAACTGCCGATTTGTTGAGATTAATTGAGTGCTATGTAATTTATGTTCAGATTTTGCGCAACGCAATCTTTCATCCGTTTCATTGAGGAAAGAAGTTTTGTCTCTGACAAAAATACATACAATGCCTTTTTTGATGACTGTATTGCGAAAGTGGATGCAAACGGTTAGTGTAGTCTTATTTTTTTGCCCGTTACCCACCAATTAACCTAACTCTGCTTTTAGAAAATGGTGATGTGTCTTTGCTTGAGCTCGATGGATCTGCTCATCTGAACAACACATCAGTAAACATTGGATTCTATCTTTTTGATGCCTTTATAATCTTATTAGTCCATTTTAGGTATTTATTGCTCCACCTGAACCATTTGTTGACCCAAGTACAGGCCTTGAAAGAGAATTCAAATACAGTCATTTTCCGAGGAAGCTCGATCCTGCGTTGTTTCAACTGGACCACTTGAGCATGAATCGCAATACAGATCAACAGTCTGTGCCCGTTCAATACGGTATCTCCACGTATCTTTCTTTCCCGATTTGGCAAACCTAATTTTTTTTTCTTTACAGAATACTATCGTTGCGCTGCGGTTCGAACAAAACCGGAGGTTAGGTCTTCCATGCTGGCTGCCACCAACTCTGTGCGAACAAATCCCTTACATTGGCCGAAAACGCTTCTTTTTTACGCCTACTCCTTATGGTTTATGCAGCTTCCCAGTCTCATTGCAATTGCTCCGAATAAGAAGAAAATCCTTCTCCTTGCATTTCATGTCGGTATCACAATTTCTTCCATTTTTTGGTAAAGTTGACAAATGAGTGTTGTACAAATGATTTCTGTTTCAGATTTTAGACCGCATGGAGCATACTGAAGTATTTCCTCTCGATCAGGTCTGCTATCGTATTCTCATTGAGCTATGTGGAGAATTTGGGGAACCATCGTTAGCTGTGAAAGTGCTACAGGTTGGGTCACTTCCATAACTTGTTATCCTTTCATCAATATAATCAAACCACATGTATGACAATGATATAATATAAAAGAAATAACAATGGCACAGTTTTCTATCAAGTAATCC